TTCATACCTCCAAGAATTTGGAAGTCATCGAAAGCTTTGGAATTTTTTCCAATAGTTTGGATCTGACCAGGACCCAGAAAGTTTGGAACGGTGCTGATGTACTTTCAATTTTTTTCGGAAGTTCCCAAGTTGTTGCTCTTGATACATACTGCAGGTTCGCAAAGTTCCCCAAGTTAAAACATTCCAATTGGAAAAATTGCAATGTACAAAACGCCTATGGCGTCGCTCGTAGAACTTGAGTGATTCGTGTGAATTCAATGGCAAGGATTAAGATCAATGGCCGTGGTGTGTCTCTGTTTTTAGCATCGACCATGCTAGCCGGCTGACCAATGAAATACGTCAACACAGCCGTGCGTGTGTTCGTTTTAGGGTCTAAATGGGCGACAGAGTGTTTTGTGGGCTCAGTTCATTCTGTTTGGCCTGGCGTGGCCAGCGTGTTTCGCATGTTGTTGTTTGTAACGAGAGTGGCAAGTGCGGTGATACATAAGCAATATTTGTTCTGCTTTCGTACGGGCGTGGGGCAGGAAAGGTTGCGGTAGGGAGTCCTCCCTGTGTGGCGGTGTGCTTCAATTGAATGGGAGCACTTCATATTTTTTTGTGCGTTTGTTCGTTGTTGGGAATACGCGACACATGCATGTGTCCATTCAAGTTGATAACCATATTGACAAGAAAACCCAACCGTAGTCGCTGATTGATAACCCCACAGATTGAAACTTGGGCATGCAGGGTGCGAGGCTGACATCTACAGACATTACAGGATTCCGTGTTCAACACTTACGTCCTCCCCTCTCTTTCCTGCACAACGGACATTCCGCAACTACATGAACCCAGTCTTCGCACACGGAGCCGCAATGATATATATTTCAACTTGCTTCTTGTTGTCATCGTCCACCTTTCTTTCTAAATCTTCGTCTACTTTCTCGAAGACCAATGTCCCCGGTCCTGAATTTGACCTTCAGCTTTGTCCCACCATATCCATGCAGTAGGTACTCCTTGAACCTTCCCTACACATCTAGTCTAGACCCTCCTTATCCTCGGCTTCTTTGGTTAGACTTTTGCTCTGTGTTGCATTTCTCGCGGCAAGAGCAACACAGCAGTGGGGGGCCCGCGGGCATCCGTGGGGGCTGTTCGTCTCGCTAGCTATGATCACATGAATGTACAGCAGTGGTGGGGGGCAGCTGGTACGGCAGTGGGGGCTACGGTTTTACTGGGCTGCAGAGGGAGGGAGGGGGGGGTCGGTTTACGAGAATCGGGGTTCGATTTAAGAGAGGGGTGTGTCTAGCTATTTTGACCTCTCTTAAATTGAGCTCTCTCAAACCGTAGCCCCCACGGTAAATGAGTACCAGGCTACATGGCTGAGCTGGGAAAATCAGAAGGGGGTTATATTACAGGGAGATGCTTGAGGCATGGAGTGGCCGGGAGAAGGCGGTAGCTGTGCTGGGGCAGGCATAGGGAGTGAGTTGACAAGGCGGGAAGTCGTATCGATACGATAGATAGACTACAATAATCCGTATACTGATGCTGCAGGGAAAGCATTTTTGAGACACATTTGGCAAAGAAAGGAGAAAGGAACGATTGGCCAGCGGTGATCCTTTGTCCTGTGGGAATAATGCCCCATCCTCTCGAGGACTCGTGGTCAATGGACAACTATTGTATACTTCCTTCGTGATATCGTTTAGTCTATAGTTGACCGCCATCTATCCCGTAGCAGCTGGATGTTGTACATGTATGTAACCTTGTCCACACAGACGTACGTGTGTTCCTGGCGATCAGCGCCGGTACACAGAAAACTGCTGTCTGTGTGTTTGTTCTGCAGCAGTATGGCCCGTGAAGGTGACTCCTAGTCTCAGTTGTTTCCTCGCATAGCGCGCATAGGACGTGGAGGACTCTAGAATATCTGGCGTTGATTTCTATTGACTTGCGGACCCCTCGGGGCCAGTTTATTTGAGTGTACCTTTTTAGGGCAAATTAACCTGTGACCACGGGAATCGACCGCGTCGAGTGTTGGATCATTACGGACATACGAAGGTACTGGGTAGAGAGAGATCGGAACGGTTTTTAATGTGAAGACGACAACACAACAACAAGTATTCGCCTATAGTATCTGTGGCATTGGCACACTACTTTAAAGGAGGTGAAGCCGTGGGCGGTAGCTTGCTCCTAGAGATAGATGAAGGTTCTGTCGTTGACACGCTTGTCCACGACCACGTTGAGATGGGAAAGTTGCTTGTTATTGCCGAGAAACGATCAGCAAGGGTCTGAGATGGAGTGGGGATCCAACTTCATCTCGGGGGGTACACAGAGTAGACCATTCTAAGGGGGTAGGGATCAGAAGAGTATACCTCCTGACCGACCCGCATCCTATCAACAATAAGATGTACCCTATTTATGCTAGCAGCCACACTCCTTAACACCGGCCCACCCTGAATATCATATATGCAGATTCAATACTCAAATCAATGCTCAAACCCTAAAGCTACAGTAAGATTAGACTATATCCCGAATCAACCCCCCACACCATCATTGAGATGAAGAATGCGAACAGTCACAAGACGGAACATCGACATCTCAATGACAACGCATGAAGGGATGAAGCTACGAAGAATATATTTTGCTGCAGAGCACGCGATCATCCTGAAAAGACGACGACAGAGGAAACAAAATCAATGTCCAAACGCCACATACCAGTCAATTACGCGCACCCGCGCGTATTCCACTGGAGGAATGAGGGCGACTACCCGAGAGAGTCCAAAATATGGTGGTGGCGAAACTCAAAACCAAACAAATTTGCGAACGAATACGGCCTTTGATACTGGACGCGACGCAAAGGGAAAACTCAACGAAATCTAGGACAACGTCAACGAAGGGCAGGAGAAAAGAACGACAGGCAAAGGCACGGAGAACGATTGCCAGCGTGCCAGGGTACCCAACTCGTGTAAGGAGACGGCAAGGGCAACTTGATGAGGACCAAGGACGCAAAACACAAACGATTAATGCAAGAGAGGCGGTCGACGAATTGCGCCATGGCTCGCTGGCGATACGCATCATACAAAGACATAAAACAGAAGAGTCGTAGAGATACACACAACAAGACGACGACTTAGGGGCGCGACGGTGATGAAGGCGTCGCTCGAAGGTGGCCATGATGGAGACGAAGCAGAACGAAGTGTGGGTGACGACGAAAATCCACGGGAGAAGGCGACGCAACGGGATGGAACCCCGAAGCACCAAGCGTATGCGACACTTGCGCGGCACGATGGTTCTAAAACAAAAAAAATGAAGACAAACATCAGTTGGCAAACAGGCGAACCAGGAAAACGCTGGGAACTCGGTGTCCAAGTGTCCCGAGGCAAACAACAACGACGAAACTTGGGGAACTCTTTTTCCAAGTGTTCAGAGGCAAAGAACGCCGACGAAACTTCGGAGGGAGCCTGTCGAGACAACCAAAGACCAACAACAACAGAAAAAACAATAGCAAAGGCGAGAGAGAACGGACGTCCAGGTCGCGGCAGTTCACTGATTCAGACGAATGCAGGCAACAAGGAAGAAGGATCACTCGACACTGCGTGTCTTGAGGCGGCGTTGCCCCAGCGTCCAAAACAAAAAAGAAGCCAACAAAAGAAAAGAGACAGGACAGAAAAAAAGAAAACAAAACAAAACGGAAGGTGACAGAAAAAAAAATAAACGTCGGCGAGAAGGATGACACAAAAGACCAAAATAGGCCGATTGGTATATGAAAACGACGGCGTGAAGAAGAAAGGGTGGGAACAGGCGACGGTAAGGAGTCAGTAAGGAGCGGAGTGCGACCACGGTTGTCGCCCANAAAGAAAAGAGACAGGACAGAAAAAAAGAAAACAAAACAAAACGGAAGGTGACAGAAAAAAAAATAAACGTCGGCGAGAAGGATGACACAAAAGACCAAAATAGGCCGATTGGTATATGAAAACGACGGCGTGAAGAAGAAAGGGTGGGAACAGGCGACGGTAAGGAGTCAGTAAGGAGCGGAGTGCGACCACGGTTGTCGCCCAGAGGGCGCGAGCGATGTTTCTCTAAACACCATGATCCCAAGACGGCGTCCAAGGCGGTGGAGTAGAGTTATGCAGGCAGAGGGAGAACGCTTGGGCCCGGGTCATCCAAGAATCGAACGACGTACGAGCCGCCCTGATGAGCACCAATACGTCCGGTCCACCACAATCCATCACGGGCCTTGTATCACAGCCGCGCGCCAACAGGGAGGGGCGAAATGCTGAAACGACGAAGCCAAGTCGCGTGAAGCACAAGATCAGCTCCAGGAGGCAAATAGCGCTCTCCACGACTCCGGGCTTGCTCCCGCTGTGCCGCGCAAGTCCGAGCCACTCGATATGTACGGTTACCCTGCTTGCTTTGGCAGACCTCCCGGGACCAGTACAAGAGGATGTGTCGACGCAATTGATCGAGGTCGGATTCCCATTCCCATGAAGGAGTAGTCAGGCCTAACCAATGGGTCTGGTACAGGACAGCGAGAACGCCGCTACGGCCCCGCACCAGTTGATGTCCCGAGATGTAGTCGACCTCGAAGCGCCCGACAGGCACCGACACATCATCCGCGGTGACATGGAATGGTGGACATTTATCTCCGAAAGAGTGCAGAACATAACGTGAAAGCTCGGCGGACAGAGATTGCGGCAAGTCGTCCGTCTCGTACGGATTGCGACAGGGCTTGCAACGAAGCACAGACACGCGACAACGAGCTGCCGGGCCGGAAAGATCGGAAGGCAGGTCCAGGTAGAGGAGTTTACGCGCCAACGGGCGGCCGTCCGGAGTTTCGTCGGCAGAGGCGGGACCCACCGCAAGAACTTTGTAGGGCCCCGTCCAGGAAAGTGCGAATTTGGCCTTGAGCACCTGTTGGTCCGTGTCCTNTCTCCGAAAGAGTGCAGAACATAACGTGAAAGCTCGGCGGACAGAGATTGCGGCAAGTCGTCCGTCTCGTACGGATTGCGACAGGGCTTGCAACGAAGCACAGACACGCGACAACGAGCTGCCGGGCCGGAAAGATCGGAAGGCAGGTCCAGGTAGAGGAGTTTACGCGCCAACGGGCGGCCGTCCGGAGTTTCGTCGGCAGAGGCGGGACCCACCGCAAGAACTTTGTAGGGCCCCGTCCAGGAAAGTGCGAATTTGGCCTTGAGCACCTGTTGGTCCACGTCCTGCTGTACACCCTGTCGAATTGTAGCAGCCGTGTTGTACACCCAAGACCACCCGCCAACGGTAAACTGAGGGAGTTTGTGAATGGCGTCCAGCAGGGATGAATTTCGGCGTTCGACTCGCGAAATCTTTAGGGCGTTGTACTCACGGACAAGTATGTAGGCCCGGCGCTGGCGATCGACAGCCAGGTTGTTGTTGTTGTTGTTGTTGTTATCTTCACATTATACACGGTTCCGATCTCTCTCTACCCAGTACCTTCGTATGTCCGTGCTGATCCAACACTCGACGCGGTTGATTCCCGTGGTCGCAAGCTAACTTACCCTAAAAAGGTACACTAAAATAAAATGGCCCCGAGGGGTACGCAAGTCAATAGAAATCAACGACAGATATTCTGGAGTCCTCCACTCCCTCTGCGCGCTATGCGAGGTAACAACTGAGACTAGGAGTCACCATCACGGGCCGGAGAGAATGAGGTACACCCCCTTGGTTCAATCTTGGTACTTCACAACGCAAGCAGAGACAAGGCCATCTGGCACAGAAAAAGAGAAGAAAATAAAAGGAAACAGCAGTATGGAAAGAGATAATGAGATAAAAAGAGCGAGGAGAAAAAGGGACCAGGCCGAAAATAACAAGAAATAAGAGACAGAAAAGGCACACAGAACACCTCAACGATGATGGTCATCATTCTCGCCAGTCCTTCTGCAGACCTCGATACAACGCCGGCATTATCGGTATACAGCATCCCCCATACTGCCCTCCGTACTCGATCAAGGGGTGTCTCCTCCCCCCCCCCCGCTTCCGTCTTCCCCTCCTCCAAGCACACCAGGCTCCGCAGAACAACATCATCCTCGCTGAATCGGATGACAACGACCTCGAGGACCTCCGCGAAGAAGATGTTGAACAGCAGTGGGGATAGCACACATCATTGTCGCACGCCCTGTGTCACGAAGAACCAGTCCGATAGTTCTCCGTCGTCCATGCGCACCCGGGCCCGCATTCCATCGTGGAATTGGCGGATGACTTCGATCAGCTTCGCGGGAATCCCGGCCCTGGCCAGCACCTTCCATAGCATCTCTCGGTCCACCGAATCATACGCCTTGTTCAAGTCGACGAAGCACATGTAGAGCGGTATTTTCTTTCTCCGCCCCAGCTCCTGGAGGCGGCGCACGACGAACAGCATGTTGACGGTGGATCGCCCGGGTCGAAATCAGCACTGTCCCTCCGGGAGGATGTTGTTGGCTTCGCAGAAGGCGCTTAGACGGTTGGTGATGATCTCGTGAGAAAGTAGCGAAACCCCCTGTAGTTGTTACAATTGGACCGGTCACCCTCCTTGTACAGCACCTTGATGGTTGGATCCTTCCATTCTCGCGGAATATCTCCTCCGTTCCACACCTTGACGAGAATGGTACGGAGGTGTCCCAGGACGAAGGGTTCGTCGTCATCGATCTTGAGCAACTCGGCAGGGAGGGAGTCATGGCCGGGTGCCTTCCAGTTCTTGAGGCCTTTCGTTGCCCGTGCCACCTCCTCGAGTTCTGGCACATCTCCCAACCGTTAAGTGTCACGTGTCGCTGGCCGCTGCGTCACTCGTTCGATTGCGTGTGGGTGAGGGTGGGGGATTTGGTGTTGAGTAGGGTGCTGAAGAATCTCGCCCACCGCTGGAGGATGTCGTCTCTGTTCCGGAGCAACACGCCGTTCTCATCCGCGACGATGCAATACTCGAGTTGATCGCGGGCCAAGCGTTGATGACCACCTACCGTGGGATGATGCAAGACCGAAAGCGGGAGTCGCGGGATGCGTCCGATGTGGATTTCGTTTGGCGCTAATCCAGTAGACTGGTTCTAGTCAGCGGCTGACTAGTCTCATAGTGTAACTTTATCTTGTAAAAGATAACCGCACGAGTTCAAATACTTGCTGGATCACTTTTCTCTACAAAAAGTGCACCTAGAACTATCGGCGTCTGGCGAGGGGTCTGTCCCCGGAGATCCCAGCTCTCAATCCCAAGCAATAAAAAAAAACCAAGTTATCCTGCCGCTGACGCCAAGTTTAAAGGAGGTGAAGCCGTGGGCGGTAGCTTGCTCCTAGANGATCCAACTTCATCTCAGGGGGTACACAGAGTAGACCATTCTAAGGGGGTAGGGATCAGAAGAGTATACCTCCTGACCGACCCGCATCCTATCAACAATAAGATGTACCCTATTTATGCTAGCAGCCACACTCCTTAACACTACACGACCTCGGCCAGCAACTCGACACTCAAAAGGCCTCCTTAGCAAGAGACAGACTGACTGCTTTGTGTGTTGTGACCTTGCGATATCGTGGAAGGTACATGTGTTTTGCTGAGCACTGGGGGCCCGGCAGAATGTATGAAAGTGGGGTACCCCCATTTTTTCCTGCCACGTACTCCCCCTTTTTATGTGTCCTGCGGGCCTGCGGGCCGCTCTATGCACGAACCACGCACCACAGTGAGTGCACAAGTAGCGACGCACAGACAGTAGAAGTAGCGAGCGGTCTGCTGCTACAGCTGCAACTGGGTGTTGGTATGGATAGGTCCCTCCCATCTACCGGCGGTCCATCTGATGCCGCCAAAAAAAAGAGTCGTGCATAACCTCGTCCCTCACCGAGGGCGAGGTTACCTCTCGCTTGGAGGACGTTCGATCCTACAGATAGCGCCCGCAGTTAAGAAACGTCAAAATTGATTAGAGCCTCACGAATCCCTTCTTTGGGTCGAAGTACCTTTGGACTGTCTCATCCTCCCGATTATCTAATTATTCCTTAGACAACATTAAGTACTTCGTATTTTCTATTTTCTGTCTTTTGATCTCTGAGGACAATCCACATCATCACCAAGCCCTCAAGAGAGGTGGTGGAGAGTGCCATCAAACCCGTACAACAGCGGAGAACATATGGTTGTCCGCGATGTGTGGTAGTACTATACAGTACAGCACACACTGCTGTGAACAGCAGGGGCGCGGGGGGCGGGGGGGGGGGGGC